AATTTTAAGTCAGCCAGAAGAGCTCACAAATTTTGCTTCCCAAGCAAAGAGCCTGCATTGAGTGAGACACCTGAGCTCATTTAAATGCTCCTGCAGTTTTAATTGACCAGAGGCAGTCAATGGTGGCAAACAGCAGCTGGTTTATACTTGCTTGGAATGCCCTGAAGCATATGACTATAGATAGGGAAATGCTATAAAGGCAAAAAAAAAAAGGCTACCACTTACAGAAATGTTTCCAGTAACTACAATATTCTGAGGAGGAAAAAAAAGGAAATATTCTTAAACTAAAGATTTAGGAAAAAAAAACAAGCTAAAAAAGCCATAAGTAAGTTAAGCAAATAATAATAATGCTAAATAATATTTGCAAAATTTGGCTATAATTGGCTATAAATTCCATTGTAATAACAAATATTCCTTCTAAACAGGACTGAATCCAACATAAGGCATGTTGCTGAATTCTTATGCAAATAAATAAACCATGGTACACTTGACAGTAGCTCTGGGTAGGGAGGACTCACTGTTTCATTCGGCTCTTCACAGGATATGAAGCACATTAACAGGGGCCAGGAACTTGGCACCTCCCAGAACAGCCTGTATTTCCTTATCAGGTACTGAACCTGCTGAAAGAACAGCAAGAACTCCTATCCCTTCAGGAGCTAATCCAGTGGTCTCCCACAGATGGATCAGGCCTTCAGTGCCAACACATTCCTTCTTTGGGCCCCACTCCACACACACTTCATGAGACATATCCCCAGCTTTCCTGAGGCAGCAGGGAGAGCCTGCAGCAGAATTCATTGTGCACCTAGACATTCCCAGGACCAACAGCTGACAGTGAACTCTGTATCAGGTGGTTAACTTCCTCGAGTTGAATTCTAATTTAAAACTCAAGGAGCTGCACAGCCTGTGTAACTCAGACCAGCTGTACATGCCTGGTGGATAGTTTAGGTATAGGCTGCATGTTCTGAAGTTGTGAGCATACAGCATATTTATTCCATATATATATATATACACACACACACACACACACAGCAAGGCATGGGAGAAAGCCACAAAGTAGGCTGTAAATCAGAATGTGGGACAATGTATTTCTGACTGAGGTGTATTTTTTATCTCTTGGAGTAAAAATATTTGAAGTAGCCTTTTGTTGCCTTGCCAGTGAAAACTTTTCTTTAAGGAAAAGAAAAAAAGTCAACCACTTCTCATTCTTACTTGTCCTTCCTGAGGTATAACTGACTGTACCTTTACCTCAGAACTTAGCTTCAGGTGATACAGCTGGAGGAGGTATGATGGTTTTGGTTTATCTTACAAGTCACAGCTTTGACAACACATCCTTCTGCCCAACAGTTTCTCCTCTGGCCTTGCAAAATTTGAACAGGTATACACAGTTTACTGTTTAGCATTCTGCCCATCTACATCCTGTTCTCCAAAAGACATGTTGACAGGAAGATTTAGTCATACTAGTAGGGGCCTGCACTGATTGACATTCTTTTTTATACCTGTATTTTAAAATCAGTACACAGAATGTATTAGAGCTGTAGGGAGAGAACAGAGTTTAATTTTTTTCTTCACTAACCAGTCTACTCAGCAAGGATCAGTGTAGAACACAGAGGAGGAATGTTTCAAAAGCTGCTAAGTAAAAAAGGATAACTCTAATGTTTACATTGGACTTTGTTTCTCCACTCCTTTTCCAGTCTAAGCTAAGTGAAGAAAAGACATTTTGTTCAAAGTCAGGACAGAACAGTGGATGCAATATTTTATCATGGCTTACATGTCACATGGTCTTTTGAAATTATTTCAACATGTTTTTCCACTCACCCAAATAAAAGCATCTCCAAAGCATCAAGATATGATGGGACTTTGCTAGACAGGTATTCATCCACAGCAGCTTAGAAATTAAGTAGTTGATTTATAAAATAATAAAAGAAAGAAAATATTTTTGGAATGAGTTCTTGTTCCCCAACATTTTCAACCAGCTTAAAGAAAATACAGTAGAACCTCACTGTTTTGCACTTAGGACTGGGAGATTAAGTGTGCATCGTTTCCTGGGACTGTTTTGCAACATTCAGGTTCTAAGAGTTAAGCCAGGATGATGCAGTTCAACACACATTTGTTCACATCCATGGAGTGTTGCCATTCAGCTTTATTTCTTATCCTATGTTATAAGTGTACCTATATTTAATGGAAAATAAGTCAAAACGAGGTAGCACTGCCACTCTCTTTGCTGGAATGTGGACAGGTCCTGGCCTAACTTTCAACGGTGGCTTAGTAAGATTCTACTGTAATCTATACAAAATGTATAAAACACGAACCTTTTCCAGAATAAGGCCACTAATTTTGCCATTGGCAATAGGCAGTGAGAAACAACAGGTAAAAAACCCTCGCTCCATTACAGAGGTGCTTTTGAGGCAACAAACTGTGGGGAGAAGTATAAACCATTGTCCTCTCATCCCTTCTCTTTGTTTTCCAGTATAGATAGGTGTCTCTGCTTCCTGTATGGAATTTCTCCATGGGGAGAAATTTCAGTCTATTTTCTTAGCTGGGAGCCTAAGCAAGTCCATGCTACATTTAAAGATGGGGACAGCACTGTGAAACAGCAGGATTACAAGCTTCCCATGAGTCATGGTCATGATAGTCTGATGTCCAGATGCCCAGATTCGGTACCAGGGCCCATAGAAAGGATCCGAGACAGCTGGGCACAGCATGTTGTTCAAATTCACTTCTGTGACCTGAGAGAGTGACAACAAATGTATAAATCAACAGCTTTTCCATGCTGCACTGATTCAGACACCTAAGCCAGTAATTTTGAAAGCACCACAATAATCAAACATGTTGAGGTGACACTTTTGCTCGACTCAAGCAGGGCAGATCTCAGAAAGAAAGCCAATCCACATTCCATTGGGCATTTAGTAGATGGATTTATAAATAACCAATTTATGAAATATTTTGGCAGTACTTGCCAGATATGAGATACAAATGCTTGTCAGAATGTTCTATTTGCATGCAAGGAGTCTTACCCATGTAGATCTGGACACTTTGAAAAAAAACTAGTCAGTGCTTTCTCTTCTAATGCATTTGCAAACTATCCATTTGTTAACCTGTGTTTACTTACCAATCCCAGGATCTGCAGGATGCTAAAATGATACACAAACATAAACCCTGTGGATAACAGAGCCCACCAGAAGTTGCAGAGTGGTTCTGGAGTGTAGATACCTGGAAAAGAAAGGAATACATTAGTATTCAGCTGCATTGCTGTTTCCATCAAGCACTCAATGAATAATCCTCTCTCTGTGGATGTTAGGGCATCTGGCTTGAGCTGATAACCTACTCAACACCATTATAGTAATTAATATTTGAGAGCTTTATTACTTACTTGGAGCATCCTGATCAACTTCTTCTCTCCTTCTGGTCCAGCAGTACATTATGTTACCTCATTTAACTTGCCTATTTTTCACCAACACCTCATTCTTCCTTCTACCTCAGAAGTACTAAAGGATTTTAAAACACAGTAATGGTGTACAATGGATCTTAAAAAACCAGATTATTTACACTTAAACACCTGCTTCTGGTGGGGACTATGACTTCAGCATGCACAGAACTGACTTAGGTAGCAGCAGGTCCTGCACAGCACTGCATTAGAGCATAGACTAATTGCCTTTTCCAAATTTTATGGTTGTTTAACAACTGTTAAAAGGAACTTGCACCAATAATGCTGAGGAACAGCAAAGCTGCATAAATAGACAATCCATTAATGACAGGCTGTGCTTTTAAATGAAAACTGCTGTGGAGATATTTCCAGATACACACTACAAATAGTTTTATAATCAGTAGATACCACAGGCACTGTAAAATATCTGCTACTTCATTAGAAAGGAAAAAGTATCATATTATTCCCAAGTTCACCTCTCTCTCCCCTCCTCAAACTAGGTTTTGTCTATTTACTGACAAAACACAATGTTCCCTGATCTAGAATGTACCAAGGAAATAATAAAAGTACCTGTAGATACAAGACTATTTTGGGAATTAAATATTCAAATTTCACATGATGAGAACAAAGCCAGTTTACAGAGCTCTCAAGACTCTTACTAGCAGACATGAAAGTTTCAGTGCAATATATGTGGAAAAATATTACTGTCCTTATAACTTTAATAACTTAACCTTGGGACACAAAGGGAAGGTGCACAATGCCATGCTGCTCAGCTGCTGTAAGAAGATGAGTTTCAGAGGATTATAAAAATGCACTGGCAATTTTTATCTGCCTTTGTCTGCTCTCTGATCCATTAGATATTCTTAACTATTGGAATGTGTACCCAGTACCCAAAGGACACCTCACAGTGTGGAGTGCAATACTGATACCAGCCTTTGCTTGCTAGCACGTTCAGAAATTACCAGGAAGTAATTACAGACTGCACGAGGCTACTGGGAACTCCAGTAACTCCACACACAGAGCTAGCTAGGACAGAACCCACCAGACCACAGCTGCTATGCCTATGTATGGCAGCCTACACAGATATATACACATGACTGCTGTTACCACATCCCCCTATCATGCTGCATCCCATCTCAGGTTCAGAATCTCCAGAGGAAAGCCTTCTCCATCCCTGCTGCCATTTTAAAATTCTTTCCTGCATAATTTTCTTCCATAGTTTGTACCCATTGTGCCAGTTCAGACTGATTTTGCAGTAACTACCTGACATAAGTTCAATTAAATAGCATTTTGTGATGGCTACAAATCAAAATTACCTACACTGTTGTCTAGAGCTGCACGTTGTCCACCCACACCAACAGAGCTGCTCTGCTGCTAACCCACAGAGTGAGATGTTGATTGCATGTGTGAATGACAGCAGCACATCGGCACCTCATACATCACTCACTGGTTCAACAGAGTCATGGTATTAGTGTCATTACCCACTGTTCCAGTGAGCAAGCTGTGGCTTGGTGCAACCATGATGAATATGAGCACAGAAGCTACTTGGAAAGCATAAGGCAGCTTGTAAGAATCCTTATCCAGTGGGAAGGTAAAGGTCAGAAGTGTCTGAATAGCAAGTAAAATCCAAAGGTAAAACAAACTCTACACAAGTAAGTTCAAGCTCCATAGGTAAAGGGAAAAAAAATCACAACAGTAATTCATGGAATGCACTTACGAAGTATGAGCTAAGAGCTGGTATCCTATTTGGAAAACAGTACAGAAAGCTTTACTTAAAATAGCAAAGATATTCATTAAACTGCATGGCCTGAAAACATCAGATACGTGACACCACCTTGAATATGGTTTTTCATTACAGAGAGCAAGAGAAAGAAGAACTAGCCTTGGTGTCAGAGTGCAGGAGATCATGGCTCTATTTTTGGCTGCACCAACTTTAGGTGACCTGGTCAAGCTTCACAGAAACTCTTTGTGCTCCCTCAGCTGTAAAGAAAACATTGTTTGACTTGCAAAATTTATTTATATTGTCTTTGCAGTTTTAGGTGCATGTTTAACCTAGATACAAAACACAACATAAAATTTAAATAAGGTTTCAAAGCAGCCCCTGGGTGGATTAGGGAAATAGTTTCAGTGTGTGTTTGTGTGTTTGTTTTGTGTGTGCAGCAAGAATTGTTAGTTTAAGCATAAAATAAGAAAATAGAATGTATTGATTTGAGCTGAAGTGGAGTTAACTTTCTTCACAGAGGCTAGTATGGAGCTATGTTTGGGTTTTGTGCAAAACACAGAGTTGATAATGCAGAGATGTTTTTAGTTTTTCTGTCTTATAGGTAAGTCAGCTTGCTAACAAGCCAGAATAGTGCTATTATTTAAAATATATCTTAAGTAGGCTAAGGATTTACTTAAAATAAGATGGATCATTTAGTTGTTGTGGGCTTGTTGTTGATGTTGAAGGCATGTGTTTGTAAGATTGATTTCTGAAGGAATTGATGGGGCCTTGAAGCAGGTCTGGATTGCTCAGGAACAAACGAAGAATATGTTGAGAGAATTATTGATTGCTAGAGGAAACTGAAGATAGTTAACGGAAATTGAAGATGGTTAGAGGAAGTTAAAGATGGTTAAAGGAAGCTGAAATGGTTAAAGCAAATTAATAAGTAGACAACAATATTTAGAGGGCTGTCACCCTGATTATTATCCCTAGTTAAAGAGGTGTTAAGGATGCTTACAATAGTGCTGCTGATAGTTTTAATTGTTAGATTAGCATATAGCTGTATTGTTAAGAATATATCCAAGATGACCCATGGAGTCTTGCTCGCACAAAAAGTAAAAGGGGCAATTGTTGAAGAATGGCTAAGGGAACAGGGGCACAGCTCCCAGAGAGCATTGTGCGAGCAAGAGTCAAGCAAAGGCTTATGGGAGCTTTGAGCATATAGCTAAGAAGTAGGCCTCAGGAGTTTAGCTTCTCAGCATTAGAAGTTATTTCTGCAGCATGATGTTGTAGCCAAAGGACAAGCTATCTGGGAAAGCTCAGCAATGTTGCAAACCCAAGGATGAACTATTCTGGGAAAACAAAGAAGGATTCTCCAGAAAACAAAGACTTCTTCACAGCTGCAGCTGCAAGCAGACATAGTATATAAATATAACCTGTAGAGCTTAGGTAATGCTAAAATGAATAATAGGTATAGTTGTCCTGCAAGCTAAGAAAGTATACAAATGTAACTTTTAGGGTTTAGGTAATGGTAAAGAGAACAATAAGCACAGTTATTCATGCACTGTATAAAAGATGGATGATGGTTTACAATAAAGGAGTCTTGCTGGACACCATCGGGTGCGCATTTCTCCCGTCGATTTCCCACAACCCTCAGCTCCTGGATTGCTGCCTTGACAGGATACCCCCTCTCGCTGCTCTCTGACAAGGTATGAAATCTAAAGGCAGCTTATGGTCCCTGTGTAAAACAAAACTCTGCATCTTGTCTCGCCCAAATGTATCATTTGCAAATTCCATCTTAAGTGAGCCTGGAAGTAAAGGCAAGGCCTGAAGTCTTGCATGTAGTAGACATCATCAACAAGCATCACAAGTTGGACTTCAAAGCAGAAGGGCTAAAAGACCTTAATTCTTATTCAAAAAAAGTATTTAAGCACATGCTTAGCTTAAGCCTGTCCTCAAATCCTTTGAATTTAATTATATAAATTGAGACCTTTCCTCAGCATCAAGCTATGCTGCTGTACTTTGGAAATGTGACCATACACATAAGTATGTAGTTACACCTGCAGATTTACTAGAAACTCTGTGCCCTTGTAAAAGAGTTGTTAAAAAAAACTAAACAACAAAAACCCACAAGCTGAACAAACAACCAAGTAAATAATATTTTAAGTCCCGAAATGTTTCTGGTGAATAATAATATTCACAGGTATAGCTGGAGACATCAGCAGAATGACTTTAATGGTGATAATTTATCAGGCACTTTTATGCACCAAGTAATAAACCAAATTCAAATGACTCAGAGTTCATTTCAGTCTCCTAGCTGACAGAAAATAAGATTGTTTGAAGTGGCAGGAAGAATGATTAATCCCTTATTTATAACTCACCATGCATTATGCAAACGAGATGACCACAGCCTTAGAGGAAAAAATTGGCTATATTGTGGGTACTGATGTAAAGTTCAAAAAAAATAATCTGGGAGGGACTGTCAGCTTGATAATGGTTGGGGCTTGGTGCAGTTGTCAGATCTCTGAGCACATTCCCCACGCTGTCCTCTGACACCAGTCTGGATTTTTGGAGCTGATGCATCTCTTCGAAGCATAGGGAAAACGCTTTTATTCCTGTTTCTTGAAATAAACCTGAAACATAAAGCAATCGTGTCTTGTCTAAATTCACAGTCTGTGACAGTCAGGACTGAACCAGAAAACATTCTCATCTAATGATGTAACTTGCATTTTATCCTCTCTTCCGTTTCCTCATCTCCCACCTGTATGAGACATTGCTTAGTCAGCTGTGAGTGATACAGGCGTGCAAGGTTGACTGTGCATTGGAGACAACAGTTTGTTTTGGTCCCTTGGCTCGAAAATCACCATTACGGTAGTTCTACGTCCTTGGTCTATGTTATAAATTGCGGCCCAATAAATTGGCAGGAGCCAGTTCAATTAGGAAATGTATTGATTGAGCAAGGCTTCAGCAAGCAAAGCAGCGCTGTGCGGCCGGGGAGTCTGTGCTCCGCCGAGGGCGCACACCCTTCCCACAGCTCCGGGGGGAGACTCTCCATTTCCCGCCCCGCGGAGCGCTGCCGTGCGCTCTGCGCATGCGCGAGCTGTTGCTAGGGACTCTGTTGCCTTGTTGCTAGGGACGCTGTTCCCGCTGTTGCTAAGGAATCTGTTCCGCCTCGTTGTCATCGGAGACCTGAAGATGCCCTTCCCGATGCTTCCGTGTGTAGGTTCCTCGACACCTTTTAACTTTTTACCTATATTTTCTATTCTACAATTAGGCCTTTTTACATATATTGC